CCTTTCCCAGAATGCAGCCGGGCAGGAAGGGGCCCGCCTCGAGCACTCGACTGCTTCCGGATTGGCTCGGCTCCTTCTGTAAGGGGCTCGCGGGCAGGACGCGGAAGCCACAAGACCCGAAACTACATTTCCCATGGGGCGGTGGGAACGTAAAGCCAACGCACTCCGGGCGCCGGGGCTCAAGCCTGTAAACCCAGCGCTTTGAGAGGCCGAGGCGAGAGGATGGCCTAAGCCCAGGGGTTCGAGACCAGCCTGGGCAACTTGGCGAGACCCCCCCCCCCGCCGTCTCTACGATCAATCAAAAAAGGAGCCGGGCGTGGTGGCGCGCACCTGTAGTTTCAGCTACTCGGAAGACTGAAGTGGAAGAATTGCCTGAGCCCAGCAGGTCGGGGCTGCGGTAACCATGAGCGTGCCACTGCACTCCAGCCTGGGCACCACAGTGAGACTCCAACTGAAAGAAAAGAAAAAGTAAAATTGACCGGGTGTGGTGGCACATGCCTGTAGTTCCAGCTACTTGGAAGACTGAGGCGGAAGGACCACCTGAGCCCCGCAGGTCGAAGCTGTGGTGGCCGGGAACGTGCCACTGCACTCCAGCCTGGGCGACAGAGTGAGACACCAAGACTTAAAAAAAAAAAAAGAAAAAGGAAGAAAGAAAGAAAGAACTTTTCAAATACATATGATACATAAAATAAAGCCAAAGCAATTGGACAACATTTGTTTTGACACGAGGCGGCCCAGTACATGGGACCCTGCTCTTTCCAACTGTCTTTCATGTGGTTGAGAATTTCCTAATGAGCTTGTTAAAATGCAGATTCCTCGGGTCTGCTTTATTCAGTCTGTCCATGCCCCACGTGATTCTGAGGCAGGCGTTTCTGGGCGTTTCTTTAGGTGGCCCGGTGAAGCACGCACAAACGTGGATGTGTAGAGGAATTGACACTGGCTGAGAAACTGCTGGCCGTGGCTCTCCTACCGATGTGCTCTGTGGTCTTGGGCAAGTCGCCAGCCTCAGTGCCCCTTCGACTTTGCCGAAAGACAAAGTTACAACAAATTTAAAGTCTTTATTTTTAATTTTATTTAAAAATCTGGTTCTCGGCTGGGCGTGGTGACTACAGGCATGTGCCACCACACCCGGTCAATTTTACTTTTTCTTTTCTTTCAGTTGGAGTCTCACTGTGGTGCCCAGGCTGGAGTGCAGTGGCACGCTCATGGTTACCACAGCCCTGACCTGCTGGGCTCAGGCAATTCTTCCACTTCAGTCTTCCGAGTAGCTGAAACTACAGGTGCGCGCCACCACGCCCGGCTCCTTTTTTGATGATGGCTCACATGCAGCATTTTGGGAGGCTGAGACAGGAGGATTACTTGACCCCAGGAGCTCAAGACCATCCTGGGCGACAGAAGAAGACCCTGTTTCTAAGGAAGAGAGAGGGAGATTCCCCACTCTGTTGCCAGGCTGGAGTGCAGTGCCACAATCGTGGCTCACTGGTGCCTCTACTTTCTGGGTTCAAGCGATCCTCCCACCTCAGCCTCCTGAGTAGCTGGAACTACAGGCATGATTCTAGAATCAGACAACACCATCTATAAAATAATTATATCAATGAGTTGAGCAGAGGAGGTTGATTTTATACTCAAAAAAAGGACTAAGGAAAGCAGAAACAGAAAACAGAAAGCAGACTGGTCATTTCAAAGTTCACTTTTTTTTTTTTTTGAGTTGGAGTCTCACTCTGTCGCCCAGACTGGAGTGCAGTGGCCGCTCCCGGCCACCGCAGCCTCGACCTGCTGGGCTCCGGTGATCCTTCTGCCTCAGCCTTCCGAGTAGCTGGAATTATAGGCGCGCGCTACCACGCCCGACTAATTTTTTTATTTATTGTAGAGATGAGGTCTCGCCTGCCCAGGCAGATCTCGAACCCACGAGCTCAGGCAATCCATTCACCTCAGCCTCCCAAAGGCACGGGATTACAGGCTGAGCCACCAAGCCCAGGTCAAAGTTCACTTCTTAAAGCAAAGGAGACTTCCTTACCACGCTCTCTAAAATGGACTGTTTGGCAATATGGTTACATAGTCTCTCTCTGTCTCTCTCTCTCTCCCCTCCCCCACCTGACTTCGCAGAAGGTCATAAAGACTTTTTTTTTTTTTTTTTTGAGTTGGAGTCTCACTCTGTCACCCAGACTGGAGTGCAGTGGCCTCCCAGCCACCGCAGCCTCAACCTGCTGGGTTCCGGCGATCCTTCCGCCTCAGCCTTCCAAGTATCCGGAA